GAAGCCCAGCAGACCGCCCACTGCCACTCACAGCAGCCCTCTCGGGAGCCTGTTCACCATGGAAGCGCAGAGGCCTCCCCAAGCTCTCTTGGGCCAGTGTTCCCACACTGGCTATAGGATAACTCAGGCAACGTTTTTCTCAGCCAGGTGGCCCTCCTCCCTGAGGTGACGTGGTAGGAAGCAGGTGGGGGCTGACTGACCAGCCCCCACCCGATGAGGCTCTGCTCTGAGCTCTGGGGGTGCAGTGGCTGCCTTTGGGGGGTAGTCCGTTGGGGTCAGGAGACCATTCCTCGGCCCAGCACAGTGAGCCTAGGGGCCAGATCAGGCACAAGTTCAAATGGGGCTTCTCACAGGTGATACCCTCACAGATGGAGAAACTGTGGCTTGGGCTAAGTTTGGGCCTCTGCAAGAACCTCTGGCCTGGTGGTTCCTTCCCTGCAGTCACTGAGGAGGGCCTCATTCCCTCCTGGTGGTATGCAAGCCTCAGTTTGAACCAAACAGAACCACCGACCTCTTTGAAGCTCAAGAGGCTAGCAGGCCTTGCTCCTGGGACTGCCCGCAGGGCGCCTTTGGGCCCGGGAGCCCAGCTCTGCGCAGAGCAGCTCCAGGTGCAGGGAGGGGCCTGCTGAGTTGGCCACACACTGAGAAGGCCCAGCCAAGGGTTGCTCACCATCTGCATTCCAGGCACCCCAGTACTGTCCGGGCCCAAATACAGACTGGTTCTAATTTAGACTCTTGGAGATAAGATGCTTTGGCCTGGACAACCTGGGCCCCGTGCGGGGAGGACGCTGCAGACCAGTCCCGCCAGAGTGGGGCCCTGGCTCTGGGCTGAGCCAGAAATCCCCACCAGACACGGGCGGGGGCTCCCAGTCAGCCTTCAGGTCGGGATGGCGTGAAGTCAGTCCAGGCTCCGCACCTGCAGGGACGCTGGAGTGCTACCAAGGGGCCCCCGCACACTGGGGTTACCAGACACGGCTTGGGCACCGTGATACACTAGTGGGCAGCACTTGGTGGGGGAGCTAGTGGCAGAGGCAGGACACGGGGCCAGGGAAACGGCTACGCTACCCCAGGGCCGCCAACCCCAGGAGTGATTGAGCCCACCCCCCAAGAGCCTTATTTTAAAACCCTGGGGCCTCCCTGCTGGCCTAGGGTTAAGGCTCAGCACCATCGCCACTCCCTGAGTCCGATCCCCGGCCAGGGAGTGACCCACAGGGCGCAGCAGCCCTCTCCCGTCCCACCTGCTCCTCTCCTCAGCAGTGAGATTCAGTGGATCCACCTGTTCTGCTCCCCACTGTGTCTCTGGGGAGACCTCTCACACACACATACCCCCACCTCTGGCTTACACCCCAGTTCTTGTATCGGTAAATAAAATCGTTAAAAAGCACTAAGGAGCTCCGCCTGTATCAAGGGTTGAAAGGCAGTGGCAGAGGAGAGGGGGCCAGAGACCCGTTCGTGCCCGTCGGCCACCGGGTAGGCTGGCCAGCAAGGGAGCAAGCTGGCAATAAACCACCTGCGGAGCACGTGAATCCGCTCGCCCTATGAAGTCACCACTCTGCCTCAGTGCAGGGGCAACGCTGACGGGGAGTGGAGAAGCTGGGTGGGGGTGTCCACTGAACGTGCACCCCCATGAGGGGGCGGCTGGCAACGGCTTGATAGTGCTGACACACTAACCCCTGCGTAAAAACGATTCTGCGTCTATGGATACCCAGTTTCAAAAGTCACAGAGTCACACGCTGAGGCCAGCTGCCCCCCAGCCTCGCCACCACTTGTGGGGAGCCCAGTGAGGGGCCAGGGGTGGAGGGCCGCCCCCACACAAAGGTAGGTCAGCACCTTGAACTGGCAGTGCCCAATGACAAAAGACCACGTGCCCTGGCCCTGGCGCCTGCCCGCGGCCTCTGGAGGCGCTGCTCCAGAGGGGGGTGCTGGATGGTGACGAAAGCGACGGGGTGGCCGTGCACATGAGCAAATCGGAAAACGCGCCAGGGATGAATCCAGAAAAGCCAGATGCCAGCATCGAAAAAGTCCAACGGAATCGGGAGAGATGCAAGTTTGTCAGAAACGTGGATCTGACAGACCAGAGAATGTGACAAACCACAGGCTACCCCAGGCGCGTCACTCCCCACCCCAGCGCACATGCCCGCGACGTGAGCATTTTGTTCCCCCAACTGTTCAGCCAGCAGGAGTCGGAGCAACAGGACTGTGCAGATACTTTCGGTGACAATGTGGCGCCAGCGCGGAAGAACCTGGGCACGACGGGAGCTGAGGATGCGCGGCCTGAGCAGGCTTCCTGGGCACCTAGACCCGCGCCAGTGCCCACCCTGCCCTCCAGGGCAGCAGCACTCCATACGAGAATGTCTTTCAGAGCAGGACACTGAGGCCCAGTGAGGACAGCCAGCTGGGCCCCCAGCCGGGCAGCCCAGAGACCCCGTCTGGCCCAGCTGGGCTGAGGCCCTGTAACTCCAGCCACCACCCCCACCCTGCCCACCCCTCCCTCGCCTCAGCCTCCGGCTGGGCTGCCCACAATGCTCCCCATTCAGTCGTGCAGTGGCTGCCAGCCTGTGGGCGGAGGGCGCTCTGCTAGTGCCCAGCCAGGGCGGGGCTGGCCTTGCCGGGGTGCCTGCTGGCCAGACCGTGCGCGAGCAGCATGCAGCGGTGAGTCTTTGTGCTCTGAGGGTGCTGGGGGGCTCCACACGACCACAGATGGGCCTCCGAGGCTGGGGCCTGCTGGGACTCTGCTGGGGCCTGAGGTTCTCCGAGCTCTCTGAGGTGGCTTCCGAGGAAGGCAGAGAGCTACGGCTGCTCCCGCGGGCTGGTCTGGCAGGCTTGTCCGAGACCTGTCCCGGGAGGCCCCTGCCTGCCCCCACTGAACCCCATCTCGCCCGGGGCTTGGAGGCGACCCCCTGCACCAAGGCCGGGCCAAAGAGGACTACAGCACAGACGGGCGACCCAAAGCGCAGAGGTGGGGGCGGCTTGGGGGCCGTGGGCCTTGCAGGGCTGCTCGGGTGAGCATGGGAGTGGGCCTGATAGCAGCGGAGCTCTGCCCTCCAACTGTCGGCAGGGCCCCCAGGGTGCAGGTAGGCCTCTGAGGCTGGGGGGGTCTGCGCCAAGGTGGGGAGAAGCCAGATTTGCCACTGAGGCGGGGGGGGGTACGTGGGTGTCAGATGGTTCCCTTCAGTGGCTGGTCAGACGCAGGAGGGCCCTGAGCAGCATGGGCAATGCCTGAGGCCGAGGAGAAGGCAGCCAGTTGGGGAAGCCGGTGGGGGGCGATGGGCAGACAGGTGGGGGTGAGAGGGCAGGTGGGGAGGTGCACAGGCCTCACTGGAAGCTGGCACAAGCCCACCTCAGCACCTGACCCAGCGCAGACCGCAGGGGCATGTGGGGTGCTGTGGCCCTGGGACCTGCAGTGCCTTGGTCCAGCAGGGCGCGCCTGGTCCTCCCCTCCGCCAGGCTGTGCTCTGGATGGGGTCGGGGGGCTGAGGACTTGGCCTCGGGCTGGCACTTCCTGAGGCCTGGCTCCCACTCTCCTCCCACCTGCACGGGCCCAGCTCCCCCAACCTGGGGTCCTCACCACAGCAACAGGACAATCCAGAAATCAGCAAGGCCTCACTGGTCAGACAGTGAGAGGGACTCCCCAGGGGGCCTCTGAGCCGCAGTCCCCAGTGAGTCAGGGGCCCGGAGGTTCAAGATAAGGACAATTTCCCTGAGGCTCGGGGGGGTCTTCTGGGGCTGCACTGTGGCTGGGGCTCACTAAGTGGGTTGTGGGGGCCCCTGCAAACCAAGGGCTCCCTTTCCCAGGCCCGTGAGCCCCACCATCTCGGTGCTGCTGTTTCTGCTGCTGCCACTGGGTCCGGCCTGGCGTGTGGTCACCCAGCGCTGCCCACAGGCCTGCCTCTGTGACAACTCCCGGGGACGGGTCGCCTGCCAGCACCACAACCTCACGGAGGTGCCAGATGCCATCCCTGAGGTCAGCAGGGCAGGGGTGAGGGCAGGAGCTGGGGGAAACCCAGGCAAATCACTGCCCTGCTATACTGCAGGGCTCAGGATGGCTGGGGGGGGGGCCTGTGGCTGCAAGGGAACCCCCTATGGTGTCACGTTCTACTTACTGTCCTGTGCGGGTGGGACAAGTGGGTGAGCTGTGCCCAGAAACTAAACTAATCACAGACTCTGGACAGAGAACGGCAGTTAAACCTGCATAAGATGTGGTTTTTGCCCCGGGGCGGCTGCCTGAGTGGGGGTGCCCAGGCAGCTGGCAGGAGGACTTCCCGGAGGAAGTGTCAGGGAGCATGCGAGGAGGAAAGCTGAAGCATTGTTCAAGGTGCAACACCAGGACTGAGGGGTACAGGGGGCTGGGTAGGGACACAGGCCCTGTGCCCCTCTTCTCCCCCTCCCCCGGCAGCTGACCCAGAGGCTGGACCTCCAGGGCAACATGCTGAAGGCCATTCCTCCAGCTGCCTTCCAGGACCTGCCTCACCTGACACACCTGGACCTGCGGCACTGCGGGCTGGAGCTGGTGGCCGAGGGCGCCTTCCGAGGCCTGGGCCGCCTGCTCCTCCTCAACCTGGCCTCCAACCGCCTGAGGGCCCTGCCCCAAGAGGCGCTGGGCGGGCTGGGCTCACTGCGGCGACTGGAGCTAGAGGGCAACTTGCTGGAGGAGCTGCGGCCAGGAGCCTTCGAGGCTCTGGGTGCGCTGGTCACGCTGAATCTGGCCCACAATGCCCTGGTCTACCTGCCTGCCATGGTCTTCCAGGGGCTGGTGCGCACGCGCTGGCTGCAGCTGTCCCACAATGCACTCAGCGTGCTGGCCCCCGAGGCCCTGGCCGGGCTGCCCGCCCTGCGCCGCCTCAGCCTCCACCACAATGAGCTGCAGGCTCTGCCGGGAGCGGCCTTGTCCCAGGCACGGGGCTTGGCCCGCCTGGAGCTGGGCCACAACCCACTGACCTACGTGGGCGAGGAAGATGAGCTGGTGCTGCCCACCCTGCGGGAGCTGAGGCTGGACCATGGAGCACTGCAGGCCCTGGGCCCCAGGGCCTTCGCCCACTGCCCACGCCTGCACACCCTCGACCTCCGGGCCAACCAGCTGGACACCCTGCCTCCGCTGCAGGGCCCAGGGCGGCTGGGGAGCCTGCGGCTGCAGGGCAACCCCTTGTGGTGTGGCTGTCAAGCCCGCCCACTGCTCCAGTGGCTGGTGCGGGCCCGAGTGCGCTCGGACGGCACCTGCCAGGGCCCAAGGCGCCTGCGAGGTGAGGCCCTGGACACCCTGAGGCCCTCAGACCTGCGCTGCCCAGGAGATGGGGTCGAGGAGGGGGAGGAAGAGGAGCTGGCTGCCGCCCGGCCCCGTGCCCCGCCCAGCACACCCCAGGACGAGGAGGGGGCGGCCTGGCCCTGCCCCCGCGCCTGTCTGTGCGCAGCGGCCACCCGCCACAGCAGTTGTGAGCGCCGGGGGCTGCAGGCTGTGCCCCGTGGCTTCCCCAATGACACACAGCTCCTGGACCTGAGGCAGAACCACTTCGCCTCGCTGCCCCCGGCCGCCTTCCCGGGCCTGGGCCGCCTGGTGTCGCTGCACCTGCAGCACTGCAGCATCCGGGAGCTGGAGGCCGGCGCCCTGGCCGGGCTGGGCAGCCTCATCTACCTCTACCTCTCTGACAACCAGCTCTCGAGCCTCAGCACCGCTGCCCTGGAAGGGGCCCCCCGGCTTGGCTACCTGTACCTAGAGCGCAACCTCTTCGCACGGGTGCCAGGGGCCGCCCTGCACGCACTGCCCAGCCTCTTCTCCCTGCACCTGCAGGACAACTCTGTGGGGCGCTTGGCTCCTGGGGACCTGGCGGGGGGGCGGGCCCTGCGCTGGCTCTACCTGAGCGGGAACCGCATCGTCCATGTGTCGCCCGGGGCACTGGACCCCGTGCTGGAGCTGGAGAAGCTGCACCTTGACAGGAACCAGCTGCGGGAGGTGCCCACCAGGGCCTTGGAGGGGCTGCCTGCCCTCTCGGAGCTGCGGCTTGCAGGGAACCCGCTGAAGGCCCTGCGGGACGGGGCCTTCCGGCCGGTGGGCCACTCACTGCAGCAGCTCTTCCTGAACAGCAGTGACCTAGAGCAGGTGGGCACAGGGCGGGGGCTGAGGGGAAACAGCACCAGGCCCCACACAGCCCGTGTCCACCCAGCATGCACTGCCAGCCCTACAGCGCCAGGCGCGGGGCAGGACATGGGACCCCGAGTAGAGCCAGCCCCACGCCGGCCCCCAGGGAGCTCGGGCACAGGTGTGGCCCCGTGGAGTCCACTGCCACACACAGGCCTGCCAGGATGAGCCACCTCCGAGGGCAGGGCTTACCCAGCAGCTGTGCCAGTACGCACTGGGGGTTTAGGTCTAGCAAAAACCATGTTGGTTGGGTGACCTGCAAGAGGCAAGGGTTTGGGTGTCCCCAAGCTGAATTCCCATAGGGCACCCCCTTCCTGCCTGCACCATCTTGGGCTCCCCACTCCCCTTCTGAGGAGCATGGGGCCCCCTCCCCGGCCAGGGTGGGCCCACGGGCGCTCACACTAGGGTCTGTGCCTCCTTGCAGATCTCTGCCGGGGCCTTCTCGGGGCTGGGGCCCAGGCTGCACAGCCTACACCTGCAGAGGAACCAGCTGAAGACCCTGCCCGCCCTGTCCGGCCTGGGCCAGCTGCAGCTCATTGACCTCGGCGGCAACCCCTTCCGCTGTGACTGCCAGCTGCTCCCGCTGCACAGGTGGGCGCCCTGCGTGGCCCCCAGCCCCATCGTGTGCGTCAGGAGGCGGGTCCAGCCAGAGCCAGCTCCCCTTCCCGCGTGGAGAGGGTTGCTAATGAGCACATGCGAACACTCCATGTGCAGCCCAAGAAAGCAAGAGCCCGGAGAGGCCCACTGGGCTCAGATCGGCCGCACGGCGGTCTACCCCAGGCCCCGTGACCCATCTGTGCGCGTTCCTCACCTGGAGGGACGATGGCGTCAGAGTCCGTCAACCCAGCGGAGGCGGCCAGCTTGCAGGCTGTCTGGCCGGCAGAGGCTCTCTCAGAGACTTGCCTGGCCCCACGACTCGGGAAGGTCCATGACCCCGCTGCCCCAGGTTCCCAGGGCCTCCACCCTCTCGGGGAGGTTCAGCAGCTTCCTGGCACCTCTGTCCTCTTCAGGTGGCTCACTGGGCTGAACCTGGAGGCGGGGGCCACCTGTGCCACCCCACCCAGCGCCCGTGGCCAGAAGGTGAAGGCTGCAGCTGCTGCCTTTGGCGCCTGCCCAGGCTGGGCCACCAGGAAGGCCAAGCGGACACTGGCCCACAGGTGGGACGCCAGAATCCCCGTGAAGGTACGATCGCGGGGAGCAGGTGCCAAGACTCCTGGGCGAGCAGGGTGGGGTTTCGCTCGCGTTCCGGTGCAAGTGGTTCCAATCTAGGTAATGGCCTTGCAGGCTGCACCTACAAACTCCTCCCCTCAGGGCTGGGCCCAGGCCTCCCGTCCTGCGGGGCAGTGGCCGTCGTCTGCCTGGACCCGGCCTGTGTCCGTAAGTCAGTCCTGCTGGCACCTGACTTGCTGGTGGCTGCTACCCACCACCTACCTGACCTGGGGCCACCCACTCTGGGCAGGAGGGTGTTGCTGGCGGCGCCCACTGCCCCACAGCCAGGGTGGGGTCCCGCTCTGGTCTCCCAACTCCGCAGTTTCCCCACTTGGCTGTCCTGAAGCCGAGCAGCACATCTGAGGAGCCGGTGAGAGCTGCTGGGGCAGCAGCCAGTCCTTACAGGGAGAATGAGGACAAAGCTTGTGGGCACGGAGCGGGCTCTGCCTGCCTCTGGGCCCCCACTCTGAAGGCGGGAGCCTGGGGGTTGTGCCAGCAGGTGTGGCGCAGGCGGGTAGAGGAGCCAACAGGGCCGGGGCCCTACCGGGCTATGCAACAGAGGGAGAACAGGCCCCAGCCCAGCTGGCCCAGAGCGGCTGCGTCCCTCCTGATGGGGCCTCTCATGTGGGCCGCGTTCACACCACACTCGCTGCCCCAGCCCTTCCCTGTCTTGCCCCCAGTGCATGGGGCCGGTGTGGTCTTTTCCTTGCAAGGCCCCTACAAGCCTCCCTACCCGGAAGCAGACACCACTCATTGCCTGTTGCCTCTAGGAAGTGGAAGTGAGTACTGGAGTCAACAGGAAGAACAGGTCCCCAAGCCACTGCAAGAGGCCACTGCACTTCCTCAGTTTCCAGGCTGAGGATGCACCCTTGCACCACCGGCTGTCCCAAGGAGTCTCCCCTCAGAGGGCTGCTCCAGGCCTTTATTTAGGATTGCTTGGGTGCACAGACACACGCTGCACCCACTGTCCTGTCTTGCAGTGTGACCGGGGGGCAGTCCCTTCCTCTGTCAAGGGAGAGGTAGGGTGGGTGTGGCTGGAAAGTTCTGTGAGGAGGAGGTGTGGGAGCTCTTGCTGGAGAGGGCAAGACTCACACAGGAGTTTGGGGCCTCAGGTGGCGCCAGCCTTGGGGCTTCCCCAAGCAGGGCACAGGCAACAGGGTGGGTGAAAGGAGACCCCCGCAGCTCCCCAGTGCCTGGCCCTCACAGCACCAGGCAGGTTTATACAAAACAGCTCAGTGTCCAAAGTACAGGGGATGGCAAGAGAGGAGCCCTGGCTGGCTCCTGGGAGGCACCATGCTGGGAAACTCAGTTGTCTGTCTCCTGTTTGATGCTCTCAAGGGGGACAGGCAGCTCTGGACTCGGGGCCTTGGCGGGTGAGGTTAAGTCGAGATGCTCTTCCTTCACGCGCACGGCGATGACTGGAGGGGAGGGCAGGGGGCTCAGGATCTGGGGAAGGGACACGGCTTCCTGCAGGCTGGGGCCCTCAGGAGGTGGTGGGGCAGCAGTAGAAGGGGCCTGGGCCCCTGGGCCGGAGGAGCCAGAGCCTGGCTGGACAGCTGGCTCCCTGCAGAGCGGGGGCTGGGGGTGACCTCGGCCTGTGGGCCTAGGGCTGCTGGGTATTGAGAATCCCTTTCCCACTTGACTCTACTCTTCTGTGCCCAGGTGGGGAAGGAAAGAGGCCGCCTCTGAGCACCGGAACCCGCCCCCAGCCCCCAGGCTTACTGTCTTCAGGCTCCGAGATCTTCTCTGCAGCCTGTGGGTCGTCCTCCAGCAGGGGCTTCTTAGCGCCTTGTCTGAGGGGCCTTGACTTGGTCGGCGGGATTCTTTTCCCTTTGAATAAAAAGATTCAACCCAACATATGAATATACCCGTGGGTCTCATCCAGAGTTCGGGCAGAGGGGACATTGCCAACTTGGGGAGCAGAGGGCTGAACTCGCGTTTTACCTGAGGGCTGTGGCCTGGACGCTCAGCGAGCCCCCCCCACCAGGGGTGACTACCACCCTTCACAGCTCAGTGTCTCTTTTCCAACCTGTACTTTCTTCACCTTCCCAGCCTTACTGTTTATAAACACACAGGGTCCCCACACCTGATCCAGCCCCAAGGCCACGTCCCGCTCCTCATTCCCTAGTTCCCCTGTGAGACATCTCTGTGTGGCGCTACCGCCTGGCCGGGGTGTGGCTCTGGGGGACAGTGTCCCCTCTGGCCCGCAGTCCTGAGAAATGGGCCCAAACGGGGCGCAGGCTCTTTTGACAGTGGAAATGGCCACCCAAGCTGGGGCACCAGGGGAGGACAGCCTGGGGGCAGCGCCAGCCCTCCTCTCCTGGCGAGCACTCAGCTGGTCGCTCAGGCGGCCAGGCGAGCTGCCAGGCACAGCAGAGCCGGGCCCCCCTTGCTCAAATACAAGCTGTCTCCTCGCCTGGGCATCCTCACTGCTGCCGGGACTCTGGGCGCTAAGGGTGCTGGGCAGGTGGGGCTAGAGGACATGGCCGTCAGACGGGCAAGACCACGAGGGCGCGGAGTTAGTGGCGATGCCCCGCCGGGCTCGCGGACACAGCCGGCCGGCACCAGCCACGCTCACTTCAGGGCACCACTTACTTTTCTTGCCAAACTGCTTCTTCTTTTTCTTCGTGGCCTCTTTGGCCTTCAGCGGCGTGGCGGGCTCTGTTGTTGGACCACAGACAGAGACGGCAAGGGTCCTGAGAGGACAGTGCGCAGGGACGTCCGCGCCCCCTGCCCGCCTCACTAGCTCCCTTTCCCGCGGAACACCCCAGAAAGAAAGCCACGGTGGGGCTGCGAGAACAGGGGTGGCAGGGGGATGGACCCCAGACCCTTTTTCCCACCCAGCACAGGGCGCTCGGAGGGCCCTAGGTGCTTTACCTGGGGCACAAGGGCACGAGCATGACAGAGTGGGCAAGATCAAGGAAGGAGCTCTGCAGGCCAGAGGGGACAGCGCGGTCAGGCGGGGCCGGCGGCCAGGAGGCTCCTCCAGCTCGCCAAGAGCGAGGGGTGGGGACAGGAGGAGGGAGCAGGGCAGGAAAGAGAAGGGGAGCCAACAGCCCCCGGGGCCTGAGAGCCCAGACCTGTGGCCACGGGCGGCTGGAGCTGGTAGCCGGTGAGCTCGCACCAGCCGACGGGGTAGATGTCCGGGGACTCGCAGTCCACCCACTGGTCGTACTCGCTGTCCCAGCCGTCGAAGTGGATACTGAGGAGCCGGTGCACCACCCGCCTCACCGTGGCCACGCAGATGAGGCGCGGCTCCATCAGGTCCACGGCCTCCAGCTTCATGCCCACCTTGAAGCCATGGTTGGGGCAGTCCTAGGGGAGAGGTCAGTGGCCGACCGGCCGGCGCCCTGCCCCCGCTGCCCTGGTGGGCAGGTGCCCTCGTGTGCTTGGACCCCTGCCCGAGCCCTCTGGAGGAAAGGTCGGGGCAGCACCGCCAGGCCCCTTGCCCTTCCTGGGCCTCCTCACCATGTTAAAGAGTCTCGACGGGGCAGCCTTTGCCTTGGTCTTCTCCAAATAGGCCTCCCAGGTGAACGTGTGCGTCTCGTACCCTGGAGGCGCAGGGTGGGTGTGGGAGGGGGGCACGAGGGGTCAAGAAGGCGCACACAGCCCAAGGGGCAGCCAGTGTGGCTGGGCACCGCCTGCCACGCCCCCCAGCTGCCTTTCCTGCCTCCCCAAGATGCGCCAGGACCTAACCCGGCGGCAGAAGTCACGCTTGCTAAGGCCAAGTGAGAGCACTGCTCTCTCCACGACTCAGCAGTTGCGGGGCAGGTCGACCCAGAGCAAGGGCCAGTGGGGCCCTGGAGGTCAGCGATGGCATCAGAACACGGCTGCTGTGCTCACGGGGACCCTCCCACCCCGCTTCCTGCATGGTCTTTCGAAAGCAGCCAGAGGCCAGGGAGGGTGGGCGGATTCGCCCCGAACAGGAAGGCAGCTGGGGGCAGAGGTGCCCTCCCGTGCTGCCAGGGTCGACCCTGGCCCCAGTGTCCTGGGACAACGCTGAGAGAAGACACACAGCTCCTGACACGTGCCAGGGCGCCGGCCGCTGTGACGGCACACAGCCCACTGGATGGATGAGGGCTCCGCAGGTGGCACCTGGGGTCTGGCTGGGCTGGGGGCTCATCCTTCCCCTCCCAACTGCAAAGCCAGTCTCACCCTTGGGAGGTGTGAGTTCAATGTCATTCTTTTGGCAGAAGGTGGCTGGGAAGATGGCATGGGATGAGGCGTGGTAACAGAACCAGTCTGAGCCGTCTGTGGAGGGGCCCCCGTCCACGCAGATCATCAGGTAGCCGTCCAGGAGAACCTAGTCGGCGATAGGTGGGCCGGGTAGAGGGAGAAACAGTCTCAGAACCTCCCAGAGGGCGGCAGGAGACCCCTCGGGGTCCTCCGCGGTAGGGCGGTCCCACATCCTGACAGGCCTGGGAGAGGGTTATCTCCAGCAGGCAGCAGACGCGCACCACGGGGATGGCGCCTGCTGCTGCGTTCTTGGGGGGACACACGAAGATGTGCTGGGTAACAAGCCGGCACCCCCGGGGGCCAGAGGCGTGCGCAGTCAGCCAGCCGGCACTCAGACAGTGGGGAGGTCCTGGGGAGGGGCCCGCTGGGCCCACACCTGGCAGCACAGGCTCAGGTGAGGAGCCCAGGAAGCACGTGACCAGGTGGCTCGCCCAGGCGTGGTGGGTCTGAGGAAGCGGCAGAGGAGCCCAGTGCTGGTGGACAGTCCTGGCTCACCTTGCAGATGGTCGCCACACAGATGTTGCCCAAATTCAGAGGGTCAATGGCCTCCAGCTTCATCCCCTCTTCAAACCAACCACCTTCTGTGTAGACAGCTCGTACCTTAAAGGAATAGAGCAGCTGGGCGACTCTGGGCTCATTCCGGTGAAGGGGAAGTAGGAGGGGAAGGTCGTGGCACTGAGGAGTGCCCAGGGCTGTGCCTCACCTTCCTGAACAGGTAAGGGACAGCATCACAGTAGATCTTCCGGAAGGTGGGGTGGTGGGCCATGTCACCGCGCCTCTCTGTGGGGAGGCGGGAGAGGAAGGGGGCTGCAGCAGCTGAGGGGTCATCACCATGGCTCCCCCAGCAATGCGGCCGCCGCCCTGCATATGACCTAGTCTGTGCCTCAGAACCCTCACCCCGCCGAGAAGACAAAGCATCAGGCCCCGAGACCCATAGTCACCCACGCAGTGTGGGGCCTGTGGTTTCCAGGTACAAGCGGATTTACCATTTATGTACGAGCTATTGACCTGGGTGTACCCAAGCTCTCTGGACCTCAGACTGGCCGTCCACAGGGTGGAGATGGTCATCGCCAACACACACACGGGTGGGTAGAGCTGGGTCCCTGCCCAGGCCCAGGGCAGAAGAGGGCAGAAGGGCCTTGTACACACTGACTGGGGCTCTGCTAACCCGACAGCTTGATGCCGTGGCCAACACGGCGTGACCAGCCCACTGGATGGATGAGCGGGCTCCACATGTGGCACCAGAAGTCATCGTCACTGTCACCATCCTCGTAGAGGAGCCGCAGGCGACCCCCGATCACAGTGTCCACCACGGCCATGCGGGTCCGCGACACCTGGGACTTGTCCACCACCTCCAGGCGCATGCCCTGCCGGAAGGGGTACTTCATGCTCTCGACCATCTGCAATGACATCAGAACACGGCTGCTGTGCTCACGGGGACCCTCCCACCCCGCTTCCTGCATGGTCTTTCGAAAGCAACCAGAGGCCAGGGAGGGTGGGCGGATTCGCCCCGAACAGGAAGGCAGCTGGGGGCAGAGGTGGCCCCAGTGTCCTGGGACAACGCTGAGAGAAGACACACAGCTCCTGACACGTGCCAGGGCGCCGGCCGCTGTGACGGGGTCACAGGCCATTGCAGACTAAGGAAATGTGCCCAGTGGGGCAGGCTCGCCGATGGACAGACTCATCAGTGCCAGATCGGCCTTCAGCTGGGTCCCAGGCCCAGCCGGTGCTGTCCCGGGGCCCTGCGCGAAGCCCACAGGCGCCCCCCACACTGCCTGCCCACTGCCCCTGTGGATGGCGCACGCAGCAGGCGCCACCGCGCTGCGGCAACGGCTCTCACAGCACTCAGCAGCAAAGCCTGCGCCCCGTGAGCTGACCAGAAGTGGCCTAGCTGCCCACAAGCCCCACTGGACGGGGGAGGGAGAGCATCCTTGCTGCGACTTCACAGCGGCCTGCCTAGGGCCTGGGCCTGGAGGTGAGCTTTGTGGGGCGGCAGAGGCGGCTCAGGGCAGTCAGTGGGGTCTAGGCACCGTGGGAACTGGGCCCTGCCGCTGCGAGCCCCACCAGGAGAGGGCGCTTCTCAGCGGTCACAAAGCAGCCAGTTACTGCTGATGACCGCCACTGCTGACCCTTCAGGCTGAAATACGCCCCAATGGGGACTGCCTGACCCATTCGGGAGGGCGAGGGTGGGGCCGAGGCTGTCTCCCCACCGAGCCTTTGCTGACACGTTCCTTTCCTTGGCGTCTGTAGTGCAGCCCACGTGCAAGGCCCTGTCATCGCCATGTCTGCGTACAGTGGCACTGTGGACTTGAGTTCCGGACAGCAGAAGTCACTTACAGCCCGGCTCTAAGTACAGACCCAGGCACAGAGCCAGCGCTGAGCCCGTCCCGACTCAACAGACACAGGGGAAGGAGCCCATGCACCTGACCGGCTCATGGGTCACTCGTGCTGAGGGGCGCTTACAGCCACGGAAAGACACTGAATGACCCACCTAGGGACAGTAGCAAGTGAGTAGCCCATTTGTCTGAGTGAGGGAAACACCATTTCTACGCTGGGGGGAAGCCAGAGAAGGCTGCCCGAGGGCTCGCACCCGCTCAGCTCTCTTGGCCAAGGCCCGCAGTGTGCGTGACCGTTTCACTGGCACCCAGTGTCGGCAGAGCGCCCAGTGCCTGCTCTGCCATCCTCCTCCTCTTTGCTGCCCACACCCTACCCATCCAGTGGGTATCGGAAAGCAAGTCGAACGCCAGTTTCTTGGGGAAGGCTCTCTCAGTCTGCCCTCCCGAGGCCACAGACCAGTTCGACCGTGGGCCACGGCAGCACCTGCTCTGTGGCCCCTCACTGCTGTACTCACTCAGGAGGGGTCTGCACAAGAGGGGACAGCAGTCCTCCTGTACACCCTTCCAACCCTCAGGATCTTTACCATGTGCGTGAATTTTTTAAGTTGAACTGAACATATATATTTTTTAGTTAAAATTAAATTTAGTTAAAATTAAATGCCACACAAATGAGGCACATCTCTGGTTCAGAACTCGGCTATCTGACCTTGATTCCAGTGTCTGACTTCATTTCTTCTGCCAGAAAGGAAAGGCCGAGATGACAGGATCTGGCCTCTGAGTTCCCACCATGCCTGGTATGTAAGTATTTAGTAAACACGGGCCCTCCCTGGTGGCACAAGGGGTTAAGTCTTAGCACTATGAAGCCCTCCGCAGCCCGTGCAGACCGAGTTCCATCCTGGCCAGGGAGAGACCCACAGGGCACAGCAGACCTCTCCTGTCTCCCCAATGGCCACCTCAGTATTGGATTTCAGCAGATCCACATTTCTGCTCCCCACTGTCTCTGATGGATCCTGTCACCCCTTGCAACTCCGGCTACTCCCCAGTTCTTATATGCATAAATAAATCTTTTTCAAAAGTATTTAGTAAAGTCAACTGAATGCGCTTGAAAGACTGCTCTAGCAAAGGGGAGGTGCCAGACGAGCAAGTGGACGACAAACAACAGGACTGACATGGAGCTGCAAGACCGTCACGCCCGAGTACTAGGAAAAGCACTGCAGTGGTCTGCAGGAAGACAGCTGTTGGGACACCTGAAGGGCGCGGCCAGACCTTGATGTGGAAGTCCACAGGAAGCGTCCTGGAGCCCACCAGCCGTTTCATGAGGTAGCCCTTCCAGTCGGTGAACTTGGCATGGATGGCTGCGGAGACACCAGCAGACCCTGGTTACTCACGGACACTCCCACCAGCAGGGGGCACCAACCAGAGCAGCCTAGAGGTCAGTGGAAGAGCCCAGGAACTTCCTTCTGCCTATCTGGTCAGCCGTGGGCCCCTTAGAAATCAGACTCCGCAACTTGGATCTGCCAGGGGGACTCCGGGGCAGGGGCGGACAGGAAGCAGGGGACAAATGGGTTCTGTTCTGGCCTAAACTAAGACAGGGGACACCCCTTTCTACCAAGGGCCCTAAAGCATTCAGGGTAGGGGCTGTTATCAACTCACTCCGAGGGGGCACCAGGATTTTGCTGTTGATGGCACACCAGCCAATGGGGTGAACGTCCACGGTTCCCAGGTTGCACCAGAAGTCGTGACTAGCATCATTTTCAAAACCTTCATACCGGAGCAGTACCCGATAGCCTGGAGGAAAAGGGGACCAGTGAGGGGGCAGGGGACGAACGGACTGCTCTGCTCTCTCCTCAGCATTGTATCTCAGTCCATCTGCCTGTTCTGTTCCTACTCTGTCTCTGGTGAATGCTCTCACCTCCTGCAACACTGGCCTGTACCCCAGCTCTGTATGCAGAAATAAAACTCGCCAGGCTCTATGGTTGCCGAATCTAAGGTAGGCAAGGAAAGAGAATCACCAGAAAGGAGGGAGAAACTCCAGTGGGCGGGGTTCTTTGTTTTACGAAGTCAATTTCTGCCATTTTCTGCCTACCCATCTAGAGAGGTCCTTCTGCAGGCCCTGGAGGCCACCCACCTGCTGCCTGGATGACAGACGCGATCCAGTACACGCGGCTGGGGAGCACAGCGTCGCTGTTGAGCACCTCCACCTTCATCCCCTTCATCACGTCCTCCCACTGGTCATACAGTGGGACCTGTGTGGGGAAGAGGGCATTTGAGGGGGCGCTGAGCTGCCTGGGCTAGCAGGGAAGAGTGCCTTGGCCTAGTCACGGCGAACTCCTCTACACCTCAACTTGTCACATTGCTCACTGTGTGCAGGAAGTCAGGCATGAGGAGGAGCTAGACCTGCCCCACGTGGCTGAAGAGGGGAGCCGGACGGCCTGTCACGCCCGTGCCAACATGTGCCACAGGTGTGACACCTATCACTTTCTAGACTCCCATGTGTCAGGCACAGTTCCTGGCACAAATATAACCTCCTTAAGCCAGTGGGGTATATCCCATGCCATCTTCCTGGCCACAATGATGGGGTGTATCACAGTGCCGGGCAATGGCCTCTCAGCCTGCACACAGGGGCAGGCTCTCACAGAGCCTCTGGAGGCCTTCCTTAGGTTAGGCAGGATGGGCTCCCTGCAGTGAGAATGAGCCCAGGTAGGGCTCAGGGCCAGAGGACCCCACTAGGGACCGTGTGGCCTCATTAGCAATTCAGAGAGGAGTAAGGAAGTGCCAACTTTCCTAGTTCAGGGCCCTCCCCAGAGTTCCGCAGCTGTTCAGAAAGGGGAGGTTAGGACGTGGGTTTATTCTGGCCAGTCAGTGGCCCCTAGGATCTCCCCAGGTCTGTTGAAGGGCGTGGAGGATAAGCTGCTCAGGCTCCACCCCGCCCGCCTTCCCAGCCTTTCTCAGGGACAGGGGGGCTGGGAGCCTTTTGCAGAAGGGGGCTCGGGGAGTTATGGGCATCTGCCTCCCTGGAAACCAAAGGGCGGCTCGGAAGCACCAAGCTTTCAATGGGGAAAAAACAGGAGTGGGAAAGAGGGGACAGAAGGCCCCCAGAGCTGGCTCTTCAACAACAACTAGCACAAAGTTCCATCCTGGGAAAAAAGCGAAGCGACCACCGCGGGAGTGCAGCGCTGGAAGCCGCGGGGCGTGTTTGCGGGGAGACTTCTCTTCTTTTCAGCTGAGGAGAGAGGCCGGACAGTGGCGAAGGTAGGCTGGTGCCCAGGCCTCGCCCCAGCTGTCTCCCCCGCGCCAGAGTCCAGAGGCTGGTGAGGCAAGGGGTTGGGGGCTGTGAGCGTTTGCCTCCCGCGCTCCGCCCAGGGCACTCACGTGTTTGAAACAGCTGACAGGCGCCGCCTTGTAACTGTGGTCCTTCAGGAACTTGCCCCAGTCGAAACCCAAGACCAGCGCTGCGGGGCAGGAAGGCGAGAGCTCAGGCCGGCCCCAGTGGCGGCTAGAAACCTGGAGCGGGCACCCCAGGTCGGTCCCCACCCCGCCGGTGTCCTCAGCCCCCGGTCCACGCGGAGACCTCTCCCTGGCAGCCCCGTACCTGCCCCGCCAGTGGCCATGGGGGAAGACCTTATCTAAAGCCGGCCAGATCCTCGGGAGTAAACATTCAGACAGACATGCCTGACCTTTCTTCCCGAAAAGAAAAGGAGATTCAGAGACCCTTGAGCGAAACTCCTCAGCCCGCCCCCGGCGTCCCATTGGCCCAGCGCGATCTAAAGGTGGGAGGCGCACAGGCCCGCCCTCGACCCTCGGGCGAAGGAGCGCGGAGCCGCCGGACTCAGACCCGCGGAGCGGCAGCCTCGCGCCTAGTTTACTTGGCTTTGCAGCTGTACAAACTCAGAAGACGGCAGTTCCTCTCCCCACTGCCCCCCGAGAATCGGATGCCTCAAGGTTTTAAGCCGCCAAGGAGAGTTCTTGGTTTTTCTATTATCAAGCGTAGGCTCCAAGGCAAAATTAAGGTTGATTGAAGAAATTTTCTAGGGTTAATTCCGACAATACCTACCAGGTGAGGAAGAAGCGCTCCGGCGGGCCGGGCCACCTCTCCACTCCGCCTCCTAGGGACCCCCGCCCCCACGCCCACAAGCCCCAGGCTGTCTTACCGTCCTGCCCTGTTGGGGTCCCGTCGGCTAGCTGTCCTGTCCCCTGGGAGTGGAGAAAGGCTCCGATTTTGGCAGACCAGGCCGCCTTGTGCAGGACTTTGGCTTTCTTGGTTGGTGGTTTCCCCTGGAGGGAGGAGGGGAAGACATATGTAGCCCAAAGGCTGCCTAGGAATTTGGACCATCTAAGTTTATTTTTGAAAAGACTTATTTATTTATGCATACAGAACTAGGGTACAGGCCAGAGATGCAGGGGCAGTGAGAGGATTCCCCAGAGACCGAGTGGGGAGCAGAATAGGCAGATTGTCGAAGTACACTGCTGAGGGGAGCAGTAGGGAGACAGAAGAGATCTGCTGCACCTCGTAGACACTCCGGGGTGAGGACTGAACTCATGCTGAAGCAACCACAGCTTGGCTCAGCTACGGTTTGGCTTAGCTTCACAGCGATCCAACCCCTGCACCGGGGAGGGCCTTGCACCACCTAAATTTAAATCTTGCTGTGGGTGCAATTAACCTCTTTGAGGCTTGTTTCACTTGTAAATCAAGATGATGACAATAACAATGCTAAACTGAGGGGAGGAAGCAGGAAAGAGGGTGACCCTAGAGCCTGGCCCAGGGCTCTGGCTTCAGTTCCATTGGGGAGGTGTGGGGGCAGCCTTCTGAGCTGTGGGATAGGAGGTACACCCGTTCTATTGTTTTAGGCCTCCTCCAGGAACTTCTCCCAAGCAGCTTCAATTTTCAGCCACCTCCTGCCTGTGGTCCTGCTCCTACAGATTTATCAAGAGAAGTGGCTTCAGAACTGAGCCAGAAACGACATTTGTAATACATGAATGTTTTGGGGAAAGGGACCATGGCTTTCTTTTTTTTTTTGTAAAGATTTATTTATTTATGCTTACAGAACTGGGGTACAGGCCAGAGGTGTGGTGGGTGAGAGGATTCACCAGAGACACAGTGGTGAGCAGAACAGGCGGACTGACTGAAACATACTGCTGAGGGGAGCAGCGGGCGGGCGGGTCTGGAGAGGCCACCACGTGGGTTAGCTCCCTGGTGGGGGAGTGAATGGAGTTGCAGTGGCTCCTGAGGTGCAGAGCTTTAACTGGTTGTGCCCTCAGGGAGAGCCGGGAGCTGGGCTTTCTATTAGGTACTCAAAGGAGTTCTCACACAAATACTGATCTGGTCTTAAGCATTAATCAGAAAGATCTAGAACTGCATTAATGGGTCAGAAATGTTTATTTAAGTCCCGGATAGAAGATCTGGAGTCAAATCCAAGATCTTTGATTTTTGTGTACCTTTAAGTTGCTAAAATTTTTTTGATTCTTTAAGTAGGATTTTTTAAAAGCCATGTTTTAGGGCTCATTGGATTAGACTGTCAGTCTTTAGCACCTAACCTCAAGCTGCGATTGTAACAATAATGTTGTTAGCTCTCTGAGGAGAGGGATTCTTCTGTGCCCTAACTAAAATCCACAAAATGAGGGAAACAACAGTCATTGTCTCACAAAAGCAAGAGGTAGTGTAGGAAGCACTGAGCTGATCCCGCATCCCGTTCAGTGACCACCAGAGCTGTGGTTCGCAAGCTTTATAATCACTTGGGAAGCTCTTGGAGGCCACTCCGTCCAGGCCATACTCAGTGACGGAGGAAAACGGAGGAAAAGTGTAGAAAACCTGAGGGAAGCATCACAAGGTTGGAACCTGGCTCAGGCAAAGACTCCTGTATCGGGCTGCTGTAGGGAGTATCAGAAGCACAGACCTGAGGGTAAAGATACAGAGATTGGGCCATTGTGAGATTCCACAGTTATCCAAAATCAGCAGCAAACAGGTCACTCCACAAAGGAGTGGGCCCCTCCCACAGAGAAAAGGTCTGTCAGTCAGTCTCTGCAGTGGCTCGGAGCAGGAGCAGAGCAGGAGCAGCTGTCCCCTGCCCGCCTGTGCTTACGCAGGTGCTTCTTCCTATGCACTCTCTCCCTCTGCAGGGCAGCAGCTGCCTGCCCGCCTGCCTGCCTGTGACCTGCACCTGCTAGAACTTTTCTGCACTGACCTCCCTCAGCAGAGGCCATCCTCCTAAGGCCACCTGCCAGCGACTGATGTCTTTTTTGGAGTCTGGGGTCCTCGGATTCACTCTGGGAAAGGTTTCCCCAGAGCGCCCCTTTCAGTAGCACGCGGAGAGTTTCTCCATGAGACAGACTCAGTTATATTTCAAGAGCCGGTTTGTTAGGGAAAAGGACGGGAGTAAAGGATTCTTGCACAGGCACCAGCGGGCAGGAAAAGCTGCCCCAAAGGGACAGGTTTACTGAGAGAGGCCTCCACGGTTGCAGACCAGTGGCCTTAAGAGAGCGGCCTCCGCTGAGGGATATCAGGGCAGAGAAGTCCGGCATGGCACAGGTAACGGGCAGGCAGGCGGCTGCTGCCCTGCAGAGGGAGAGTGGAGCACCTGCAGAGGTGCAGGCGGGCAGGGGACGGCTGCTCCTGCTCGGAGCCACTGCAGAGACTGACTGACAGACCTTTTCTCTGTGGGAGGGGCCCACTCCTTTGTGGAGTGACCTGTTTGCTGCTGATTTTGGATAACTGTGGAATCTCACAATGGCCCAATCTCTGTATCTTTACCCTCAGGTCTGGGCTTCTGATACTCCCTACAGCAGCCAGTCTCCATGCTGGGTTAATGGTCATGCTAGTTCCTTCTGCTCCCACCTCCTTGCCTGGGCCAGGTTCCAACCTTGCGATGCCTCCCTCAGGTTTTCTACTCTTTCCCCCCATCATTCAGCATCTTTGGAGCAGGACCCAAACATCAATAGTTTTAAAACTTTCTAAGTGATCCCAGCAAGCAGTCAAGTTTGAGAAGCAGAGACCTCCCTGGTGGTGCAATAATTTAAAGCGCAGCACTGTGAAGCTGTCCACAGCTACTGCAGCACAAGTTCCATCCCCGGCCAGGGAGCTGACCCACAGGGCGCAGCAGACCGCTCCTGGCCCACCCACTGTTCCCCTCAGCCGTGTGTTTCAGTCAGTCTGCCTGTTCTGCTCCCTACTCTGTCTCTGGGGAATCCTCTCACCCCCCACACCTCTGGCCTGTGCCCCAGCTCTTGCATGCATAATAAATAAATACTTAAAAAAAAAGTATATGGTAGCTGGGCTAGCGCAAAGCCACAGGAGGCCAGGGCTGCCGTTGGGGTGCAGCTGCGGCTCTGCCGCTTTCCTGGAGCTCTCTCGAGCACGGCACTTCCCACTCTCCGGACTGGGCACGCTTGTCCTTATTTTGAACAACACAATGTGGGGCCTCCCCGGTGGTGTAGGAGTTAAGGACACCACACTATCAAGCCAGCTCTAGCCAGTGCAGTAGGAGTTCGATGTCCGGCCAGGGAATGACCCACCTGGTGCAGCAGAACTCTACTGTCTCCCTGCTGCTCCCCTCAGAGGTGTATTTTTTTTTTTAAGATTTATTTATTCATTCATATAAGCACTGGAGTCCAGGCCAGAGATGCAGGGGCTGAGAGGATTCACCAGAGACAGAGGAGGGAGCAGAACGAGAAAACTGAAATCCACTGCTGAGGGGAGCAGCGGGCAAGACAGCAGAGGCCTGCCACATCATGTGGGTCAGCCCCCCGGCTGGAGTTCAGACTAGTGTTTCAGTGGCTACAGCCTGCTTCACAGTGCTCTGCTTTAAGGTGCATCACCAGGGAGGGCCCAGCAGTGTATTTCAGTAGATCCACCAGTTTTGCTCCCCTGTTCTGTCTCTGGCGAATCTTCTCATTCCCTCACCCCCACCCCTGTACCTTAGGCCTACGCCCCAGGTCTTACATACATAAGTAAAATCTTACAAACAAAAAACTTGCTGAACATAGTATCACTGTGAGGGGAGAGAGATGGAGTGGAGGGTAGCTCCACACATCTGCAGTTTAAGGAGTGCTCCCATCTAAAGTTTGAGAACATAGAAAAATACCAGGAAATCTGCAACCTCTGCTGACCATAAGCAAGGTTCTTCCCAAGTACCCTGGGCCCCAGGAAGGGTCTTCCAAGTGACTGCCTCTCACCTGTAACCTAGCCAGGATACTGGCTTTCTTGGAGTTGGAAGAGTAGCTCCTGGAACAGGAGACGCTGCAGAACCTCTTGGTCTTGGAAAAGAAGGCCTCCCTTGTACCCACGATACCACACATTTCACAGACAGCTGGGAAGAGAACTTAACTTAGCATATGACTCCCTGATACGATCACATCCCCCACATCAAACCAATGATGGACCCTTCAAAACCTGGGACATGGCATTAACAAGTGAGCCCCACTAAGGAGGACAGAACTAGAATAGGCAGAGGGAGTCTGGTGTGTACACCCGAGTGCACCCAAGGTAAGAGACTCAGCATCCCCATGGCTCTCGGTGTGAACAGCGAGGCTACGGAAAACCCTCGAGGACTGGAGAAACAAGAGGTTGGGACGTTGGCAAAGAATATAAGGAATGCCCAAGTCAGTAACTTCTATTACTCGCTCAACTCATCTATAAAGAGACCACACTAAATCAGGGTTCCCATCTTGACTTCACACTAGAATTTCTTGAGTAGCCTTTCAGATGCCCAAGCCTAAGACTCTAATTGTCTGTGGGACACCAGCATGTGTAGTTTGTTAAAAATACCCCAGGTTGAGTCGAACGTGCGGGCAGGTTAGAAGCCTGGAGTAGGTGGTCTCTGATGGGGCCTTCTACTTCTAAGATTCTACCCATGAGAGTCACTGGAAAAAAGATGGAAGATAAAAGGGGAGAGAGGAAGATGGGACAGGATGACAATGCCAGGCCCCTCTCCCAGGTGCTTAGGACCACAGACAGTCCACTCACAGGCAACCCCCGGGCCAGAGGCCTAGCGGCCGGCCGCCAGCCGGCGGAACCTCCCTGAGCCCTTGGCTTCCAGTGACAGGTGGGATTCCAATCTGCCCACCCACCCTAATCCTTTTAGCTAGAAATCCCTTTATTCTGAATTTCCTCTCCCTCACTTCGACCCACTGGCTATTTCTTGTCCCTTCCTTGAGAGTAACACTCGAGTCCCATCATCTCAGCATCCAGGCTTTGAAATGCAGCCGGACTCGCACAGAGGTGAAAGTAGCACCACGTCAGTGAGGGGCATCTAAGCTGTGCTGAGTAAGCAGCTGTATGAAAGGATAAATTAATCAGACTAAAGTCAGACTGTGACAGAGGCAGTGACCCCTGGGGCTACTAGGGTGCCTGTCCCCTCCAAGGTCTTCAGGTATCAAACAGCCCTTAAATACCAGAAGAGCTCTGCCCACAGGCCTATATCCCTGCTCCCTCCGGCGCCTCCTAGACCCTCCCCATCTTCAGGGGACACCGGAAGGCACCTGGCTCCGAACCACTGCCATCCAGGGAGCGGGGGGTTCCAGGGCTGAGCAAGTGCAGCGGGGAGGTGGGCAGCTCTCCTGCTTCCCGATCCTCATTTTCTGCTTCGCTTGACTCCTCGAGGTAAGAGCTGCTCTCACTGCCCGCACTGCTGTTATAGCTCCGGAAACTTTCGTAGCCACCAAAGAGCTCCAGTGCATCCTCCTCCTCTTCTTCCTCCATTGGTTCTGAAGACGGAGTCTCCTAGTGGAAAGACGACACAAACCAGGCTGAAGGACTCACGGCTGGCTTAGTGTGTGGGGAGAGAGACAAATCTGCTCTGAGCTCCCTTTCCGGTCGTTGGTCGGGTCGACATCCTGGCAGAGTTGCAAACAGACTAAAGGAACCCTTTTGCAAACATGAGAATCACTACCCTGGTTCATACAGTTCTTAACCACAACTCAACAGAGCAGTTAATAATACAAAAAAACATGTATCAGGAGTTCACCAAGCTCCTTTAGAGGATGGATGATACTTTGTCATAATTCAAGTAGAATACTATCACATAAAAAGACGCTACATGACTTGTCTCCTGGAGGACTTTATAGCAAGCTGTATGTTAGAAATTTGCTCTCCAGGCCCTCCCTGGTGGCACAATATGTTAAAGGGCAGCACCAGAAAGCTAGCCACAGTCACCACAGCACAAGTTCAATTCCCAGCCAGGGAGGTGACCCACATGGTGCAGCAATCCTCTCCTGTCTCCCAGCTGCTCCCCTCACCAGTATATTTCAGTCATTCTGCCTGTTCTGCCCCCCACTCTGTCACTGGTGAATTCTCTCACCCCCACAGCCTGTACTCCAGTTCTGTATGCATAAATCTTGTTTAAAAAAGAAACTTGTTCTCTTTTCAGCCTCTATACATGAACACCATCTCAACTCAAAGGCAAGTCAAGAGAATTGTTCATGTGGGACCCAGACTGCTCTAAGGAGGTCTTGGAGGCAGATAACATGGACAGCTACAGCAAAGTGGTATCAGCCATGCTCTGGAGCCAGCTCTACTCTCACTAGCTCTGGATTCTAGGGCAACTCATTTCACCTATCTGGGCCTCAGTATTCTCATCTATGAGAAAAATTTGGGGGGGCACAGTATGTCAGATGTGAGACATTAAATATGAATCTCGCTGGCATGTACTAGAAAACGTAAGCAGTTTGGCTCTAGGCCAGAACTCAGATATCACCCGTACTGGTTAGTAGCTGTCAGCATGCAAGTCCCCCTCTCCAGGCCTCAGTTTCCACATCTGTAGATGAAGCTAAATCACCTCTTTTGCAGGCTTTAGGGGAGAAGGAGGGATCAGTGCAGGTAAGGCACCCAGAACAGCGACTTCTACATGCTAAGTGCTCAGTAAGTGTTGGTAGTGATTCCTGGTTAAAAGCACCGCGGAGCCAGATTTCCCCCGGCCTGAGCCCACATTTACTAGCGGTGAATTTTGCAAGACATTTAAGCGGCCGGGCTCTCTGTCTATGGCACAGACGAAAGCAAGCTCTCTTTGTCAAGGATTAAGATGGAGACCCCAGAGCCTCCTTGGGTTTCCAGCTGTTAGGGACAGCTCTGTCCTCCGTCTCCCGCAGGGCTTTTGAGCTTTTTAGCTTTATAGTGACCACCAAACGCGCAAGTATGCGAGGAAGACAAGGGAATTCAGCTTTCAGGTGCCCAAGAAGCCGAGCGACTAAAGGGTGGCTGGGTCAGACTGCAGGGGCAGAGAAGCCGCACGGGTGGGGCTCTGGGGCCTGTCAGACTTACGGGGTGCCTCCTTCACCTCGCGGCTGCGTGACCCCTCAGCGGGCCTGTCTGTGCCTTGGTGCTCCGTGCCCACTGAGGGCTAACGCTCGTGAACCCCCAGACACTGAGGTGCTACCAAGTTTCCGCCTCCCGCCCCGGCCACCGGCATGTAACAGGCCTCACGGCGCCTCACGAGCACGAGCCAGGGAGGACAAAGACCCACGAGCTCGCAATCGGCTGAGCCAGGGCCCTCACCCCCGGCCAGGAAGGCTATACCTCCCCAAACTACCGGCCCGACGTCGGCCCCCAGTGTGGGAGCTAAAGGGGCTCCACTCAGCCCCTCAGTTTACCCATCCTTCCCCCCTCCATCCTCCAGGTGTCGCTAAAAAGCCTAAGAAGCGTCCCCCGAACGAGGCTCTCTCGCAATTCCCTCTCCCAATCGTGGGCAAGTCCTCTCACTCTCACCTCAACGCCCCGGGGCTTCTCCATGAGACCTAACACTGTCTCTTCAACCGTCACCAGGTGCAGGAAGCCATATTGGCCTCGCTGCCTTCCCCGGGCGCGCTCATTGGCTGCCTTCCAGAGCCATGGACCAATCACGCTGCAGGAAAGCGGAAAAGCCTGTTTCTCCCCCCCTCCTGAAGCCCCTCCTCCCGCTGGGGCTGGGAAGCCGCGGGCACTTATGGGATTTGTAGTTTCCCCCGTGCGTGAGTGTGGAGAGGGCTTTGCCGCAGCGACCTGAAAATTCCTGGGCGCTGGCCAGGCGGTGTCTAACGAGGTTTGTTCTCTATTCCAACCTCGTCCCATTATCCGACTCCGTTCTTCATTAAACAGCTATCGAGCGCCTACGACAGTCAGGTGTTGTTCTAGGCGGTGAAGTAACTTCACCTTCTACCTGATCAGAAATGTAAGGTGTCTTGGACCAGAACACCTGAGTCTGGGTGGTCTAATAGAGAGACGCCTGTGGAGAAGAGGGCAAGAAGGCAGTTATGGTTCCTCAGAGAGCCCTGACCTGGACATCTAAATCCTGCAGTATTTGGTATCCTCCCTTTAAAACAAAACAAGAGGGCCTCCCTGCTGGCGCAAGGGGTTAAAGCGCAGCACCGCGAAGCTAAGCTATAGCCAGTTACTGCAGCACAGTTTGATCCCCAGCCAACACCCCAGCCAGGGAATGACCTACATGGCACAGCGGACCTCTCCTGTCTCCCTGCTGCTCCCCTCAGCAATGTGTTTCAGTCAATCCGCCTGTTCTGTTCCCCACTGTCTCTGGTGAATTCTTTTACCGCCCACGCACCTCTAGTCTGCACTAGAGGTGCAGTTTTTGTATGCATAAATAATCTTAAATCTTTAAAAGAAAATAAAATTGAAAGAGAGTTCCTGATTTAATTTCTGTGCTGTATTTTCCCCCACATCTCAATTAATCTATCATCAATACAAGGAGTTAGAAACCTGAAACTTTCATCTTTATAACATATCAACAAAGAAAAGTACTAGACATTGGCTGAGGAAAAGAAGCAAAGTGGAGACCTCAGTGACAGGAACCATTGACTTCAGTTGAAATGGCCTCTAATTAGAAGTTCAGTCGAAATAGCTTTTTAAACACAGGTTGCTAATCCACAGTGGCCAGCCGAAACAGTTCCTTCTGGGGCAGGGCACCTGGGACAGGATCTCCTGCTATAGCAAAGAAACTCTTTTGAAATGTCCTCAGTCACTCCTGGTTTTTGGAGTCTTCCCTCGTGATTCACTGTCACCCTCTGGGGTCACCAGTGTCATTCTCTCTTGGATTACAGCAACATGAATGTGCCCTGGTCTCACCACACTATACAGAGCGTCCCTTGAACACGCTTATGCCTTCTCTTTCCCCTACCATTGTGCCACATACCCACTATGTTCTGAAAGGTTTATCTGCACCAAAACTGCTTTATCAGGTTCCCTGATGAACAGCCATGTCTCTCTTCAGAACTGATGACTATCCTTCCCCACACACTGTCCTTTCTCGCGGACCTCTTGGTTTTCTTCTCACCTCCCTGATCGGTTTCTTGGCCCTTCCTCTTTCATCTGAATTCCAAGTATGGGATCTTCAGGGCTCTGTCCTGTGTCCTCTTTTCTCACCATAACTGATGTCTTTCTTTTTTGTGCTATAAATGCCATGTGTGCCCGCAGCGCCTGTGTCTGTCCTCTGAGCTCCAGACTGGCAAACCCACCCGGGTAGATGACAAGTGGGCAGTAACTTACCCCAAACCTATTTCCTAATTAGCACATAGCACTACCACCCACTTAGGAATTTACTCTTGCTTCCTCCTGCTTCACTCTCCACACCTCACTTTCCTCAGCAAATCCCATTACTTCTCAAAACCTACCTCAAATCTTCCCGTTTCTCTTTGCCTCTGCTGCCACCACTTTAAAACCACACCAACATCCTGTTCCACTGAAGCCCCTTCGCTGTTCTCCTCTCTCACCTAAACATTGGATCGATTCCCAGCATCACTGATTCGCAAACTGGACGCTTTTTTCTGTATCATGTCACTCATGTCTGTCTGTCCCTCCCCTTTGGGGAGGCGCAGGGTAACAAACTGTGATTAGAGAAGTAAGAGTTATTCATTCCAAAAATTTTTCTGTGTGCCCACTGTGCTCTGGGCATGGTGGATACAAGGGTGAGTGGTGGACGCACACTTCCCGCCCTCATAGAGCTTCCTTCCTATATCATCCCAAAGGAAGGAGACCAAGGCTTTCTGGACCTGGGAGTCCCCCTTCTTCCCGCCCCTCCACTCCTGGAAGGTGCTCGCTTCTCCATCCTCAATTAGTCTCATTTGCAGAACGAGCTTGTAACCGGTAGCTTTGGACCCTGGCGCTCTGGTGATGGGAAATGGGGTGCAGGGGTTGCAGAGAGCGGGTGCAACACCTGCCGGCCCTCCCCCCCGCCGCTCCCCGCCCCTCGCCCCACCCGGACCGGCCTCACCCCGCCCTCGCCCGCCCCTAGTGTGCGACCCCACCCGCGGGTTCCCCTGAGCTGCGGG